CCCATACTCTTTACACATATGATTGCATTTCATCTCACCCATCTACTGCAATTATTAAGTTTGCTGATGACACAACCATGATATTCTTGTAAAGAAGCTGGTAAAATGCGGTCTTGACTATGCTACCACTCAGTGGATTTGTAACTGGCTGACTGACCGAACCCAAAGGGTGCTCATCAATGGTTCCTCTTCATCCTGGAGAAGAGTGACTAGTGGGGTGCCACAGGGTTCTGTCTTGGGCCCGGTCTTATTCAACATCTTTATCAACGACTTGGATGATGGACTCAAGGGCATCCTGATCAAATTTGCAGATGACACCAAATTGGGAGGGGTGGCTAACACCCCAGAGGACAGGATCACACTTCAAAATGACCTTGACAGATTAGAGAACTGGGCCAAAACAAACAAGATGAATTTTAACAGGGGAAATGTAAAGTATTGCACTTGGGCAAAAAAAATGAGAGGCACAAATACAAGATGGGTGACACCTGGCTTGAGAGCAGTACATGTGAAAAGGATCTAGGAGTCTTGGTTGACCACAAACTTGACATGAGCCAACAGTGTGACGTGGCAGCTAAAAAAGCCAATGGAATTCTGGGCTGCATCAATAGGAGTATAGCATCTAGATCAAGGGAAGTAATAGTGCCACTGTATTCTGCTCTGGTCAGACCTCACCTGGAGTACTGTGTCCAGTTCTGGGCACCACAGTTCAAGAAGGACACTGACAAACTGGAACGTGTCCAGAGGAGGGCAACCAAAATGGTCAAAGGCCTGGAAACGATGCCTTATGAGGAACGGCTAAGGGAGCTGGGCATGTTTAGCCTGGAGAAGAGGAGGTTAAGGGGTGATATGATAGCCATGTTCAAATATATAAAAGATGTCACATAGAGGAGGGAGAAAGCCTGGTTTCTGCTGCGCCAGAGCAGCGGACACGGAGCAATGGATCCAAACTATAAGAAAGAAGATTCCACCTCAACATTAGGAAGAACTTCCTGACAGTAAGAGCTGTTCGACAGTGGAATTTGCTGCCAAGGAGTGTGGTGGAGTCTCCTTCTTTGGAGGTCTTTAAGCAGAGGCTTGACAACCATATGTCAGGAGTGCTCTGATGGTGTTTCCTGCTTGGCAGGGGGTTGGACTCGATGGCCCTTGTGGTCTCTTCCAACTCTATGATTCTATGATTCTATGAAAGCACATCAAAGTGCAAGTAGATAAATTGGTACTGCTCCGGTGGGAAGGTAAACGGCGTTTCCGTGCACTGCTCTGGTTTGCCAGAAGCAGCTTAGTCATGCTGGCCACATGAACTGGAAGCTGTACGCCGGCTCCATCAGCCAGTAAAGCAGATGAGCGCCACAATCCCAGAGTCATCCGCGACTGGACCTAACGGTCAAGGGTCCCTTTATCTTTAAAGGTAAAGGTACCCCTACCCGTATGGGCCAGCCTTGACAGACTCTAGGGTTGTGTGCTCATCTCACTTAAGAGGCCGGGAGCCAGCGCTGTCCGGAGACACTTCTGGGTCACGTGGCCAGCGTGATGAAGCTGCTCTGGCGAGCCTGCACCAGCGCAGCACACGGAAACGCCGTTTACCTTCCCGCTATAAAGCAGTACCTATTTATCTAGTTGCACTTAGGGGTGCTTTCGAACTGCTAGGTGGGCAGGAGCTGGGACCAAAAGACGGGAGCTCACCCCGCCATGGGGATTCGAACCGCCGACCATACGATCGGCAAGTCCTAGGCACTGAGGTTTTATCTTTACCTTTACCTTTAAACAGGTTCCCAAGCAATGGAACACCTTACTGTGTGACTCTCTCTAAAAAATGAAATGAAACATGTTTTTAGGAATTGGTGCGATGCTCTGTATTGGTTAATTGAAAAAGGAAAGCAAAGGAAATGCCCATCTAACATTTTAATCATCAAGTACAAATGTTACTTCAACCAAGGAAGGAAACAGATGGTGCCCTGGATTCTCTACAATACAGCCGCTGTTCCCTTGATGAATTTTACTGCTTGCTGATCATCAAGCATGATGTCGTGAGTACCATCTCCCTTCCACCTCCCAACCCCACTCCTGCTCGATTCCTAACGAGAAAAATAAAAAGGAACCAATGGAGTTGAGTGAGGTTAAGTTAACTATGAAAATGGGCATTTTAAAAAATGTTACCAGGCCATTTGTTTATTTATTTATTGTATTTATATCCCAGCTTTTATCCAAGGAGCTCAGGTGGCTCATAGGTCTCCCACTCATCTTCATTTATCACCCACAACAACCCTGTGAGGGAGGTTAGTCTGAGAGGCAGGGGCTGGCTCAATGTTACACACAGTGAGCTTCGTGATACCCAAGTGGGGATTCGAACGCTGGTCTCTCCTAGTCCAACGCTCTAAATACTGCACCACACTGACTTTCTGTCTCTCTGTGCCATAAGTTCAGTGCCAGATCATCTGGCTTGCAAGCAGAAGGTCTTGGGTTCAATCCTTGGCATCTCTTGGGAGGGCTGGGAGAGACTCCCTGTCGGGAATTCATGAGAGCTGCTGTCAGTCTGTGTAGGGATGTGAGTCAGTATTTTGTTTTGCCATGGCTTGGTGCTTATCCACTTGTGGTATCACAGAGGAGAGCTCCTGGTGTTTCTGCAGTACGTCTTTGTTCAGTACTCAGTGTTGTATGATTTGTGCAGATGTATGGCAGAATCTGGGTGTGATGCGATTGTGCCAGTGTGGCGATTGCTGTTTTGTAAGGCAGGACGTAGGGAGGCTAAGGAACGAAGGGATTCCTGACTAAAGATGTCTCAAATTGTGTTGCTATATTTTTTGCTTTGGTGGGATGGTATTGTTTTATTATATGGCACTATATTTCAGTTTTGCAGTTTTATAGCTTGTTATCTATACATATTGGGCCGTATTCAACTAAATCCTTGCACTAGCCAAAAACAGTGCAGAGGTTCCTGACCATGCAAAGGGACTCCCCCAACTCCCTATCTGCTCTGGAGGCCTGAAGGAAAACCCAGAACAGTTTTAGGGGGTCCACAGAGTGCGGGAGGAGAAGGCTCATTGTGCAAGAAAATTCCTTACACTAACGGAACTTTTTCCTTAGCACCAACACTGTATACAACCCATTGCATTTGTTATTTTGTAAACTGCATGGAGGCTATCTTAAGTATTAAGTGGTATACAAATATTTCAAATAAATAAGTAAGATTGAAGGTCTTAGAATGCTGCACATGTTACAGTACTGTTCTTGTTCTCAAAAGAGCCATTAGGTTGTGACCCAAAAAATGTCCTGTTCCACACAGAGTCCACAGCAGAACAGGGTTTGGACACCTGTGTCCCTACATAGCAGTCCCCAGTGAGTTCCAGCTATCATTTGATAACCCTTTTGATAATCTCAGAGCATTAAGAGACCTGGCCGACGAGCTCCTCAGCGTGCCCTTGATGTTTTCATCCCAGTGAGGCAAGCTCAATTAGCTGACTTGTTTACTGCACAGAGGCCTTGGGGGAATCCCTCTGTTTACCTGCATCACAGCGACCCAGAGGAGCGCCTTGCATCCTCCTGCTGTGCTTCCGCCTTGCCCCTGCTACCCTGGAGGCCCCAACATCCTCCTGTTCTTGGTGAAAAGGTCTAAATGATCTTTCCTTAGAAGTATAACACGTATGACAACTGAACTCTCCGTGGGGGCAGCGGCAGAAGAGCCAAGGTTGTTTTTTCATCCTCAGAGGTGGCAATGTTCAGCTGAAAATAGCTCAGGCTGCCAAAGACGACTGACCTTATTTTATTAGTATCTTGCAGCAGCAGCGAGATAATTTAAAAGCAAAAGCATACAAAGAGACAACATAATTACAGGTACCTTAAGAGAACACAGTAGAAACATTCTGGAGACAGAGAGAAAAGGCTGAAATTCTGCTGATAAATGTCTCTCCAAGTAGGAGTAGAACACACACAAAATCAAACAGAAGCTGGAGGGGAGAGGGAATGCAGCTTCTGTGGAACTTACCTGCATTGCTAAAGCAGGTTCCACCTGGTTTCTGCTGTGCCATAATGGTTTTTGTATCTAAGATTATTCAGATTATACATATTTTGTCCTTCATCACATTGCATTGTGGACTCCGTAGTCCATTGTTATTGGACAAGTTTCCATAGTTCTCGGGTGTGCTCTGTTCATGATATGTGAGAAGGACTGAGTGTATAGACTAAAAAGCCCATCCTGCAGTGTTGCTGCAAGGAGAGTGTACAGCTATGGGAAGACCTAAAGAACAGGGAAAGGATCAAACAGGACAAGCAGATGACCACCACAGCCAGCAGCTGGAGATGAAAAGTTAGTTTGCTGTGATGGAAGTTCCAAGTGATTAGGATTATCACGTGATCACATTGTTTAGATGAACTAAATGGCTGTTTAATTTAGCCTTTGCTTCACAGAGCTGACACTTTAGTGCAGTCAAGCACACATGCTTATTAGGAATTTTATTTTTTATTTTTTTGTGGGGGGGAGTGAGTTGCGGAATTATCTGATCTGGTTCCAGAAGACAAAAACGTAGACCAAGAATGCAAAACAGCACAATGTCCTGCCTAGGTTTCATTTTATCAAAGTCACTTCTCTTTTGCTGTGTGCAATAACCATTGCCCAAATCAAAGCAGCTCTCATTTAAAAAAGGGTGCAGGAAAAGAAAGCTCAATCTTGCCACTGAATGCCTTCATTCATCTTTACTTCTGCACACATAAAACTGAAAAGGGAAGCCATCGTTTGGCTTGTGGTATCTCTGTGGCAATTCCTCAGTGGAAATGTTTTCTGGGAACAGATCCCATGGGAGTTCTCCTCTGCCTGGAAGCCAACCAGGCTGCCTTTACAACTTCCATGGAGTTGCTCTCTGTGAAGATCAGTCTTCTACAAATGGCAGTTTTCAGTCATTAGGAACACAGGAAGGCGCCTTATACAGAGTCAGACCATTGGTCCACCTAGCTCAGCATTCCCTGCAGTGATGGGCTTCAAAGAGGCAGCCTCTTCCAGTTCTACCTGGATGCCAGAGATTGAACCTGGGCCCTTCAGCTTGCAAGGCAGGTTCTCTGCCACTGAGTTATGTCTCTCCCCTTACAAGCAGCCCCTTCCCCAAGGCCTTACAAAACCCTACAACCAATCCAATCCAATATAGGTAAAGGTAAAGGGACCCCTGACAGTTAGGTCCAGTCGTGGCCAACTCTAGGGTTGCGGCGCTCATCTTACTTTATTGGCTGAGGGAGCCGGCGTACAGCTTCCGGGTCATGTGGCCAGCATGACTAAGCCGCTTCTGGCGAACCAGGGCAGCACACGGAAATGCCGTTTACCTACCCGCCGGAGCGGTACCTATTTATCTACTTGCACCCTTTTACCACGAAGCTACAAATTTCAAAACACACGACTCTCTGGAAAAAAAATCCCACTTCACTTGAGACTACTCCAGAGCTGGTGGCTAAAGAATGTGGACCTGGCTGTCTTTAAGAACACAGCAGCTGACTCCCACAAGGGCCGTAAAGGAAGTGACAAGTGTGTGTCTTTTGCTTCTAGAAGTGCAGAGGAATTGCACATTCAAAACGGTGGAATTCACAGCCTAAATTCTGAACACATAAAACATATGGCCAATACAAGCGCCTGTGCTGCCGGGAGGCTTTGTTCTCACTGTCAGACAGCTTATAACTTACTGCCAGATTACAGCCCCTGGCGTGGCAGAGCTATTTTTCACCTCCTCCAGCCCCACAAACACAACTTGGCGAGGTAGGTCACGCTCCTTATCAGAGCCGTCTCGCCACATGGCAATAGCAACATGTCCCATTATGGTTCCACCTGCGGAGACTCCGTGCCTGGGCAAGGATGCCCGCGACTCATAATGGAATTACATAATTGGAGGAATATCATTTAAATCTGAACAAATTGGATTCCCTTGTGTTGCACTATTGAATAAAAACAGAGGAATATCCAGTGCTCTTATCCCCAGAAAGCCAAGGAAGGAGAAGGAGAAGCACCGACCCTAATGTCCTGACAAGGCAACTCTAATAAGAAAGAAAAATCTTCTTCCGGTTTGGCTTGCCATGGTGGAGGCTGTTAATTACATCTGAGCTGTTTCACATGGGATATTTTGAGGATGAGATGGGAGTAATCATCCTCCCAACCCCCCCAGGACCGGGGGAGGCAGCTTCACCCACAGATTGCCCAACACCTGCCCCCAATCCGGTAGGAATGAGGGCACCGGGGGCGCTTGGGTGGAAAACACCGTGTGTCTCTTTGGCAGCTCTGCAAAGTTGCCTCCATGAGCAAACGAACTCCTATTTTTTAAGTTGATAATTTGGACTTAATTAACGGGCATGCTCTGAGTGAGGGGAAATAAACTACTCTGCCAGCTGATTCAGCCACTGAGGAGCTAAAGGGTTAGAGTGGAAGAGAGACTATCTTTATTATGTAACTGGTATTTCGGAACGGAAAGCAGGGGCGGGGGGAGCCTTCTTTGTTTCTTTTTGATATACTGCGTATTTGCTATTTTACTTGGCAAATCCCACTGGAAAGTCTGAATACCGATTGATTGTTTATGTACGCAAGTGAGACTGTACTGTACTGTAATACTGATACAATTTTGATCTAATTATTAACTGGGTGGAAAAGATTTATGAATTTTCAATTAATTCTGATGGACTGTTAAGAGCGGAAGATGAGAATTGAGGCTTCTAGCCAAAGTGCAGGCTTATCTGTTCTGGTATGAGATGAAACGAAGAGGTTTGGACATCTGCCTGGAACAATTGGCAGAAAGCCAGATTTACTCCATTTTGGGATGTGTCGTATTGGCATGAAGAAGCGAAAGTGAAAGACATGGAAGAAAATAAACAACCACACAGAAACATACTGTCAATATAACTCGCTTGCTGGACAAACTCAGAGGCTGTGAAAGCGAACAAAGGATTAACATCGGATTGATTTATGGGAACCACCTGGACTAATTAAGAAAGCAGCGCAAATGTGAGATGATTGCAATCCTCTGACCTCAGAACATGGGAAGTCAAACAAAGATTTATGATTTGACTTAATATTTGGACTGCTTGATTATTTTATAATTCTGAATGTCTTTAATGTGAACTTTATTGGATTGTTAATTTGGAAAACTTAATAAATATTTTTTTTTTGGAAAAAAGAAAGAAAGAAAGAAAGAAAGAAAGAGAAAAAGCTTCATGATGTCGGTGGAAGAGAAGAGGCAGGAAGTAAATTCGTTTACATCTAAATCAAACAACCTGCACTGTAAAGTGGAGAGTTACGCAGGAGCTTCTCCTCCCGTGATTTAATGTGATCCTCCATACCATTCAAAGGCAACTGTCATCAACTTGACACCCTCCAAATGTTTTAGACTACAATTCTTATCTGATCCACCTAGAATGGCCACATTGACTCAGGCTGATGGGAGTTGTAGATGGAGAACCCCAGGTTGGTGAAGACTGCCCTATGCAATAATCCACTTACAGGAAATAGTCATTATTTGGTTCCTGGTCCATATATTCAGAGAATCAGGGGATGAGGTATATTTAGAACTCTTACCTTTCCTCCCCATGAAAGGAGATGAGCATAGCTTGTACCAAGCCGAACTATTTATTCACCTAGCCCAGCCTTTCTCAAATTTTGATTCCTAGATGTTATTGGACTTCAACTCCCATCATCCCTGACCATTGGCTGTTCTGGCCAGGAATAATGGGAGTTGTACTTCAATAACATCTGGGAATCAGAGTTTGAGAAAGGCTGGGCTAGCCCAATATTGTCTACTCTTCCCAGTCACTTTCCTGGGCACCAAGCAGAGAATAATTTTTTCTGTTCTGCTGCTGCCTGATTCTTTCAGGTGGGTTGAATCTGGGACTTTCCTGCACAGGTACATAGGACTCTGCCTTATACTGAGTCAGGCCACTGGTCCATGAGACTCAGTATTGTCAACACTGACTAGCAGCTGCTCTCCAGGATTTCAGGCAGGGGGCACTCCCAGCCTTACCTGCAGATACCAGCAAGGATTCAACCTGGAACCTTCTACATGCAGTGCAGGTGTTCGGGCACTGAGCTGCAAGATCTTAGTTGGGCTAGCCATGCTGCCAATAGTCCAAACCTGTCGCTTTTCATCGCCTCCCTAAACCCATGTTAAAGTTAAGAGTTACCAGTTGTAAGTATAAATATTTCCCAGCAGGAGAGAAATGATGCCAAATTATTATTATTATTTTTTTAAAAAATGATATTTATTAATAATTTTAAAATTACAGGAAAAACAAAGAGAAAAAGAAGGGGAAAAAACAAAAGAAAAAACAAAAGAAAAACAAACCACAATCAAACAATACAAATTGATAAAAATGAAAATCAAAAAACAACAACAAAACACGTAACACATCACAATCAAAAAGCAAAAATAAGCCACAAAAAATTAAAAACAAATCCAATATTCCCAAATCCTTAACTGTCATTGCCTTATTTCATCGACCTCCTCACTCCTCCCCTTTATTGTATTCTAGTTGTTAATTATCACAGCAAATCCTTTCCATTTTTCATAATATTCTGTCATTAAATTACCTTAATCTATTTTAACCTTATCTTACTATAAAAGACCCTAAAACTTAAAACTTAGATCTTATTTATACCAATTTCTCATAACCACAACATATTCTTACATAATTCTTTTAACATTTCTGCTAAAGCCAAATAATTTCGTTCCAATATTTTTCTAACATTCATCAATTTTATAAGACAATCCTAATAATTTTTTTAAAAAAACTTTCTTCCAATCTTCATCCAACGTCTCTTCCTCCTGGTCCCGGGTTTTCTCAGTCCTTTCTATCCCATCCATCTAGCTCATTAACCTGGTAATCTTATGTCCGAGGCCCTTAAGTCTCTTCCATGTCCCTTCCGCAGATCTTCTTCATATTTATACCTGTACTTTACTTTGTCTCCTGCTCCTTTCACTCGTGGAAACTCCAACTTGACAGTATTTTTGTCCCTTCTCGACAAATCAGCCCCTTTTCCATAGTCCACACTAAACTCCATGTGGTATTTAAAAACATGTTTCAAAGTCCCTCCAGAGTTAAGAACCCCCACAACCCCAAACATCTCGCGGCCCATTGCCAGACTTTAAAAGTCAAAACATCCCTGCATAGGGGGGTCTATCCAACCCCCCATTTCCAAACCAAACAAAACTCTATCTCTCCAAATCTGGCTTTTTCCAAGTTCATTTGTCAGATCCAGCAACTCATGTTCCTGCTGGACCACAGCTCGCTCCATCTCTGATGCCAAATTATTAACAGGCTAATGGATAAAGACTAAAACTATGAAAGGAAAGTATTGCTAAATATGTACACTGCACTGAAATACCTGGACACCTGCATGCATTTAAAAATGCTGGTATCTAAAATGGTAAGAGTTCACTTTCAAAAGCCCGTTTCAGACACCAGGAGAGCTAGAATATGAAATATAAAAGAGAAGTGGAGATCAAAAGTACCCCCCCCCCCGGCCAGCCAGGGCTCAAGCATTTAGTGGGGCCTGGGAGAGAGAGGGCCTCAGAGGTAGGCAATGTGGTGCCCTTCAGGTGTTTCAGGCTGCTACTAGCTCCATCCCTGACCCTTGGGGCCAGGCTGGCTTCAGGCAGGAGTCTCTCCAAGACCTACTGGAAGATCATAGAATCACAGAGTTGGAAGGGACCACGAGGGTCACCTAGTCCAACCCCCTGCAATGCAGGAATCAAACCCACCACCCTATGATGAAGAGTCTCATGCTCTACTGATTGAGCTATCCTGGCAGATGGTCAACACACAAGTGTAGCATTTGCTCCAGAATACTCCCCTGCTCAGTATTCATGAGAATGCAGCTACACTCTGCAAGCTCACCCCCAAAATAATAATTAAAAAACATGCATTAAGTACATTTGCACTGATATGTTCTTTTTAATGCACTATTTATTCCAGTCCACTGACACTGGGGACTGAACCTGAGACCTTCTGCATGCAAGGCTCTTGACACCAAGCCTTTCCCCAAACGCCCTTCCAGCTCAGCACTGTATTCTCCAGTGTTTCAGGCAGGTCTTCCAGCCCTTGCTGGTGAC